GATCAAGTGAGTCATTGACCATTTGATCTAGATCCGATACCTCCGAGCATTTTATTTTTAATTTTTAGATAAACTATTTGATTTAGAGCCATGTTTTCCCTTATTGTGTAGAAGATGTATACTTCTCTCGATCCCGTCTTCCAATTTACGTCAAGTCAGCCATTGACCGTTTGATCTAGATTTGATACCTACGAGTATTTTATTTTAAAATTTTTAAGTAAATTATATGAATATGAAAGTTGGTACATGCAATCATGTCAATGGGGCTCACCCAAATAAAATGCTAAATAAATATTTTTGATCAAATAAAATAACCAAAATACTCTTGAGACTTTTAGAGGCACTTTGGTCATTTTATTTTATTGATAATATTATTTTTATAGTTTTGATAAGTGAGAGTTTACAAGACGAATAGATACTAAAAATTTGGATGTAAAATGTTTTTCAAAAAAAATTAAAAATAAAATAGTCTAGAGATGTGACATTATGAATGTGACTATCTTAGCCATCTATTCAGAATGGACAGTCGGATGAGAAGTAGATAAGTTTTTAAAAATAGGGGAAATATAGAAAACTTATCTTATTGATAATTTTATTTTTTTAAAATTCAAAAAAATAATAAAATTAATTTCTCATCATTCCTTCTTGCCTCACAAGCTCTTTGTAACCTAGACGCTACCTATTATGAAGCTTTCAAAATGAGAGAGAGAGAGAGAGAGCGTCCTTCTAGAGTACGGAATAAAAACCCATTCCTCTATTTATACATAAAATATATATTTTAATAAGCTACAATGACGTGTTGAAGGGAATAAGGGAGAGATAAAAGTAGATAGAAATAATTTTAAAAGGGTGAAATGCCCTTGAAAATCATGCAACCCTTAATCAAGAGGTGGCGGAAAAAGTGAGGAAAATAAGGTGATGGTCCCTAATAACTTTATTGTAAAATTAAACTAGCGTATATTTAAAACCATTTATTATAAAAAGTAGTCATGAGCATTTTGTATTTTCATTCAAGTCCCACTTTTTAAAAGTCTATATTTTTTAAAAAAAGTTATTTTCTTTCCTATATATTGGATGAGCTTAAATTTGGGAAATTGATTTTCTCACCATCTTACATTTGTAAAAAATACTCAAAATATAATTTAAAATTTGTCCCTTATATTTTGAAATTTAAAAGTAAAATTAAATTATAATATTCCCTACAAAAAAGTGTGATTAAGCCATAAATTTCCAAAATGAATGGAAATTTTTGGTCAGTTTCCCTATTTTTTTACTATAAGTATTTTCTTGTATTTGGTATAAGAAGGGTGATGACCTTAAACTTTCCCTTAACCTATCCCAAACCCCGGTAAAAGATGTGGGTTGTATTAGGTAGGAACGAAATTTAAAACTTTGCTAAAATATTTCATGAATCATGAATCTACGTTATCTTCTTATGCTAGGGCGTTCTGGGTAAGCAATATGCCGTACTGAAACCCGGATATAGTGACAAATGAGCAAGGTAAGCTAGAACATTCCTCAAAAGTGAGCGTCGTAGTGCCGCCCAAATGTAGTGGAAAATGGTTAACAGTTCCCATGACATTTTGGACGGCCGCGGGTAAGGAAGCTAGCCTAAGATAATATGATTCGTCTAGCCACATGGAATACAGGAACACTTACAAGTAAGAGTATAGAGTTAGTATATACAATGAGACAAAAGAGAGTAAACATGACTTATTTATAAGAAACTAAGTAGAAAGGGGAAAAGCTATGGAACTAATAGATGGGTATAAACTTTGGTATATAGGAAAGGATAATAAATAAGTTATGTTTTATCTTAGGCTAGCCACATGTACCATCTATCTAGGACTCGACATATATTGTTGAGATGGGTTTTTTTTAGGGTTAAGGAAAAAACACAGATCTTTTGTAATCAAAGAGATCAGAGAGGCGTGAGGAAGAGAGTTATTGTAACCCTATTCTCCATTTGCCAGTAAAAAAGCTCTCATCTCTCGTGTACGTAGGCACGTTGCCGAATCAGGTATATTTTTGTGTTTGTTTCTTTTTTCTTATGGATTGCTTTTTGTTTCTACAAAAGGTTTATGTAAGGGCGACGCTCTAAACAATCAAATTAAGGCACACCTCTAAATTCACTAGAAGAGATTATTTGGATGCTAAAAAATCCTAAATTTGATCAACTCGACCTTTAGATGTATGAACCTGAGAAAAAATAGATTTCAAGTTTTGGAAATAGTGTATCTTGTAATGTATTATAGACCGTCAATTTTTAAGATTTTCAAGTGTTTATAGATCTACTCAATCTACACTATTTTTTAATATTTAAATTTTATAATTCAAGATGAAAATAAATTTTAGGGCCATCATAAAGATTTTTGATACGGAAACAACATATTCTGGCATTATTTGAATGTACGCCTTACTTTGATTGGTCAGGACCTTAACTTTATGAAAACCACACCCTTTTATTAGTGACTCATTGGACAGATGAAGCTTTCAATTCTGATAAAAAATTCCAAAAAATTGGGAAATGTCATTAGAGGACTTATATTAGTTTATAAAATTATTGAGGGGCTCAAAATATTTCGTTTACTATTGCAGGCTTTACTTTTCACGAAACTCCACCAAAAGAATTATTAAAAAATTTCAGATTACCCCTGTTCAAGGTTGGAAACCCTAAGCATCATGGATATTTTGGTAATTCAACTCAAATGGCTTAAGCAAAATTACATAAAAAAAAAAAACAAGCAGAACAAGAAAGAAAAATCAATCGGTAATTGTTCAAATTTGGGAACACAAAACAAATAGATGAAAATATCCTAGTTCTATATTACTAACCTTGAACAACTACAGGGTGTTTTAATTATTTGGTAATTTCATGTTCCCAATCCTTAACAAGGGTGGTTTCGTTGTTTGGCTCATGCCACTTAAGTCATTTGTTCCTTCTTCTTTATTTTTCTTTTTTTTAGTTAATTTATTATTCGTTTTTTTTTTATATATATATTTTTAAATAATTTATTATTCGTTTTTTATATAGTCTTAGAAGTTAGCTTTTTTAAAAGTGTCGAGAGAATTGAAAACCACAACATGACTACTAGGTATGGGGTGCTATCACCATGACCTAACCCTTACCTAAGTCATTAGTTCCTTTGTCTAGTCAAATCTCCTAGGAGGATTTAGCATGCCCCACTTATGAGTGAGGGTGTGAAAAAGTTGGGTTCGGGCATCTTAATAGTGCTCATCGGGCCGAGCTGGGCTTGAATATGAGGCCAATGAGAATGATAGGCTAGGACCCACCCTTGGTATTAAAGCCCAACATGCCCTATTTGATGCAACTTTTTTTGATAGGGGAAGAGATTGCTTAGGAATTTGCATATACGGCTTTGTGTTAGAAAGTTGCGTCAAATAGTTTTGGGCCAGAATTGACGGCCATGAAATACAAAAACGACTGCACTTTGATATCTTGCGCTGATAATTCAGAGAAATGGAAAGATTGAGGAAGATGTCACACACATAATCAGAGTTGGGTGGGCAAAGTGGAGATATGCAATTGAAATTTTATGTGATCACTGTATATCAATGAAACTAAAAGCCATGTTTTATAAGAGAGTTGTGAGACAAGCTCTGCTCTATGGTGCGGAATGAATCAATTTGAGAAAATTTAGGTTTGACACCAATAGGTGCTAAAATGAGAGAGAGTAGACTTAAGTGGGCTCGCCACGTGTGATGCCGACCAAGCACAACACATGTTAGGATGTGTGAGTTAGTTCAAGTAAGAGGACTGAAAATGATAAGGGATGTGCCCAAAAGGACATGGTGGGAAGTAATCCAAAAATATATGAAGGCTTATGACTTCGTATGGCCTTTAATAAAGCAAAATGACAGACTAGTATTCGTGTAGCCAACCATAATTAATTGAAAAAAAACTATCATAATGATAAATTAAACTAAAAAAGTACATAATAAGGCCATTTATTTTTCATATAAAAGGTCACCATAACTCATCACCTTTGTTGGATGTGGAATTAAAAAAAAGCTACCCAATAAAGTTATTGATGGTTCAATGTAAAAGTAAGTGTCGTGCCTTGACTTGGTACTAGGCTCATACTTGAATTCATCAAAATGTAAGTCGAAGAGGATTATTCTCTTTTCAATCTCAAAGAATATATAATATATGATATGGAGAGAAATATCTATACAAAATATAAGGGGTTGTACAGCCTACAATCATTTATCTTTGGTAGGTAAAGGTTAGAATCATATCTAATCGTAATATATAAAATTTGACAGCTGGAGTTATTGTACAAAATCTGAAAAAATCTATTAGACTTTGAGCTTAATCAATAATAGACCTTCACTAGCTCTAGATATATCATGGACCTTAGTCCACCCTTCCAAAATATATATTGCACATTAATTTTGGATCAAAAAATTTAGAAGTCTATTATTTCAATGAATCTGAGGTGGAAATAAAGTCATAGGAATCTAGAATGTACTATCGGCCTTAAATTTTGAAAATTGAGTCGGATGCATGCATCAGCTGACTCACCAAATATTTTTCTGTAATTTTATCCATCAAGCATGGGTCTAATCAAATGAGCTTATCATGGGCTTGGAAGGTCTTAAGGCTTGGTCAAATTTGATGGGCTAGACTTGCACTCTTTTCATAAAAACAAAATTGAAGAATCCTAGTTTTGGAAAGAACAATATTTCTAATATTTCTCTTTTCAAAACTAGGATTTTTTACTTTTGTTTTTATTTCCCCTTACCCATTCATTTTGGGCCAGATTAGGCAAGGGGTCCAATAAATTTTTTTGCAATACGATAATTAAGTTTCAAAAAAAATTATTACAACTTTAGCACCCAAGTATAAAAATAAAAATAAAAACAAGCTCTATCTAAATTCAATAAAAGATCATTCCTCATATTATCCATATTTCTCCATGCAGTTGATTTGGGAAAAACAACAACCCCTAGGAAAAATGGAGCCCTATACATGCAAATAAAAAAAACTTCCCATCATAGATAGAGCTATAATCAGTTATTAATATCCAAACACTAATTAATAATAAATTAAAATCATCATCATTCAAGCCTCATCCCAACCATTTGGGATCGGCTTAATACCAAATTAAAGTACAAGGTTCAAATTATTCAGTAAATAACATCAACATAGGAGTCACCATAGTATCAAGTCCTCTTAACACATGCTACATCTCTACTATAACATAAAGCATTAAGGGTGCGTATAGCGTGTCCCGGCGGACCACACTGTGCACAATGTCCAAATAGATATTTCTCTTTTAGGTACTTCTCTTGAAGTGCATCTCACGTGTGACTTACTGGTAAGAAAGACAACAATCTGTGACATGGGTCCTGGCCTACTTCTAACCATGGTTGGGGGGTGGGTTAGGGGAAGCTAACCCAGAGACCAAAAATCTCTCCCTTGGATTACTCCCATGTTTGGGGGGTTCCCTAAATAGAGAAACAAATAAAAGAAAAAAGAAGAAAAGAATAGTACCAGTACCAATCCTAGTGGACTCCAATAACTTATTGGAGGCCTCCCCTAAAGTTAGTGAGACAGATAGTAAAAATGAGTCCCAAAAAAAAAGACATCAAATTTACCCCACATCTGTCTAATGAGGCTAAATCCCAATATTTAGCCTCAAATTCAAGAGCCAAACAACAAAAAGAATAACAAGTGTTAGTGGAATGCTTCCCTTTCCCTAGGGTTTACACAAGTTTACACTGGGTGAGGTTGTCAAATTGTGCCACCCTTGTGGCAAGAGTTGGAGTGAGGGTTTTAGCCTTTCTAGGGCTAAATTTAGAGAATGTTTCCCATGTTTGGAGATGGGTTCAGCCCCTATGGGCCTAAAGTTGGAGGAGGTGAATTAGGGTTTATGCCCTAGAGTCACTCAACCTCAGGTTAGAGGGTGATATTTTTTTTATAACAATAATTTAGCCATGTGGGGCTAAATTTGGTGAACCACTGGGCAAAGCATAGACAAATTTGGAGGTGGAAGTTTTAGCCTATCCAAGGCTAAACAAGTGAGAAGGACTCATGAGAAGTAGAGAGAGAATTTAGCCTTTTGAGGCTAAGTATGGAGCATGTAGGAGAGTGCTAAGGGCCATGGTGCCCAAAAGTGCTTCCTAGCTAAGAGAGAGAGAGAGAGAGAAAGAGAGAGAGAGAGAGACTTATGCTGAGGGTTGTTCAGGAATTGTAGAGTGAGAAAGCGGAGTGGGGAGGACTGAGTGGAGGCGATAGGGGTGAGGGGTTGGAGGAGGGAGAGCTGCTGGTGCACCTGGGAGAGCCATGGTCATGCCTGTTGAAGAGTGAGAGACACTGTTAAAGATATTAGTAATCACATCAATGAAATTGTATCCATAAATAACGCAAAATTCAAAAGAAATTTCACAATGAATATTTAGAGTGGAAATATGTAAACATTAGATAAGCATTAGAAAACAAAAGGAAAAATATAAAAGTGGTTTTAGGGGGGGAATACGTCGGAACTAGCTTGATCATCTCTTATTTAAATCGGTGATCTGGATTGAAAATCATTGGGCTTTAAAACACTACTATTTATCGATAACATAATCATCTATCTTGGAGAAGGTCACAAACACCCTAACCTATCACACCTAAAATCAAACATTTGAGGTGTGCCTTTTCTCTACAAGAGGTTTACAGAAGAACGCTTCTGGGACCGGTCAACATTATGCCCTCGGGCCACTTAGATTTCATATCTGATAGCTGGGGTGATGGCGACTGGGTGATGACGACTTTTTTATACTACATACAACTTTTATTTTATATTCTCTCTCATCCTAAGCATCAGGATTGTTTATAATGAAGTTGTTACTCATTTTATCGACCTCAAAAAAAAAAAAAATTTTATTACTCTTGAAACACGAAATATGACATCTTAAAAATCGAGTAGGGTGTGCTTGTTTTATGCACAAAAGTCCAAGGAAAAATATTTATGGATTTTTTTTTTTAGGTAATTCAATCGGGATGCCAAGTCTTTACCCATATGTGAAATCGTTAGTAATTTTTTATATATTAAGTGAGAATGAAAGTCTAAACCTTAGCTAAGGCACAAGTGGTGTTACCACCACGACCCAACCTCATTCTTGGACTTCAAGTGCAGTCGATAACACGTTTCTCAACCACCCAATTTTGTATCTGACCAAGGCAAAATATAATTATGACTTTTTCTACCATTGAAACAATCCTGTTGTATACTTTCCCATTATTCATTTCGTCCTCTTAATTTAAACAATTTATGAGTGGGAACAAATTTTATCCGGTAGACAAAGTAATGGCAATTGGAAAAAAATCATATAGAATTTGTACGTCATTTCATTTACATTAGTAACTTTTTGGCTTTATATTTAACACGTGATTAAGATATATCCATAATAAGTTACCAACAACAAACAAATGCCATGCATAGACAAGTAATCCCTATTTTGCATTAAAACGAAAAAATTATAAAAGAGAAAAAAAAAATGTTATTGGGTGCATGTTAAGTCAAAACCTCTAGACATTACCGAAATATTTTTTTTTGGCATCGAAAACTCTTAAAATGTCTTGAAAATCTATTTGCACCCTTAGTTATAAAATTTAAAGCTCCAAAAATAATGCAGATCTGATAAAGCTATGAATATTAAATGATGAACGGTCCAAATAGTGTGTAACAAAAAGCACTATGTTTAAAGCTTGATATCCTTTTTTTTCTCAGATCCATGATTGTCGAGGTCGAAATGATCAATTTGAGGGTTTTTTTATCCCAGAATAATATGTTCTCCAGTTGATTTTAGAGGTGAAACCCTACCTTTATATAAGGCAATACATCCTTATATAAAGCTTTTCCACAGTTATCTCCCAAATATAATTGGGAAAACTATTTTGTAGGGTCGTGGCTTTATAATGCCACTCCTCGAATCTCATTGGAAAAAATAATTTGGAATAACAAAATCTACAAATTGATCATCTCGACCTCAACAATCATGGATCTAAAAAATAAAAAAGTTTCTTGCTTTAGAAATAGTTTGTCATGTAAATGCATTTTTTCGGATTGTTCATTTCAAAGGTTCACAGATCTACCAAATCTGCACTATATTTGGAGCTTCAAATTCAATAATCAAGAGCGAATATAGATTTATATGCCATCACAAGGGATTTCGACACCAAAACTGTATTTTCTGATGGGGTTACGATGTAACTTTAACGAGTATAACTACGCCTTGAAAAACCACACCGAATAACTATCTACCAATTATATCTTGACACTTGTGAGCATGCCATAAACGCACAAGCTCACAAATAATGGGGCATCCTTTCTTTAGGATAACCGAACTGCTCATATATTGAACTAAAAATAGTCTGAGTGAAAACCACAATATGACTTCTTGAGTTCCATTCCTACTATAGATAAAAGAGACATTCCCGCCTAATCAACCGCAAAAGATAATATCGGTACGGCCCAAAAACCATGTGTTCCCATTATGAGTATCTCTTTTTGAGGTAGTTCAATAAGGAAAGAGTCCCCTATCCATAATAAGAATGGAACTTAAGACGTCATATTGTAGTAAACTGCCACCTTGACTACTTAGCCTTGAACCTCTTCTCGGGTCAATTCAAAATGCAAAACAAACGTTTGAAAGCTGAAGTTCATTGAAACAATAAAAAGGTGTTCCACTAGTGTATAATACATTGTGGGTTAGAGATCACATAACCTAGGCACGTTTTGCCTCTATCTCACCATTGGAAATGGAAAAAAGACGCATGTGTGGTATATTATGTATCGTAGCAGTTAGTGGCACAGTTGGGGACGTAAACCTTGGGGTTGAAGCGGGCAAAGTAGGACTTGGGCCCGAGTCCTTATAATCGAATCTGATACAGGCAATTTTAATAGAATTTAAAAAAATCAAGAGAAAATCGTTCCTGATCGGACTCGCGTGCATCTCAATCCTATCCCGAGTCAAATAATTGTTTAAAGGATGTAGCTTGTATAAGGCTGATGCCTCAAACAATCAAAGTCAAGCGCACCTTCACATAGCGCTGAAAGACATTGTTTCAGTACTGAAAGTCTTTGTAATGGCCTGAAATTTTATTTTCATCTCTAATTATAAAATTTAAAGCTTTAAAAATAGTGTAGAGCAAACATATCTATTAACACTTGAAAATATTGAAAATTGACACTCTAAAAAATGCATTATAAGATTTACTATTTCTAAGACTTGTAATCTATTTTTTCTCATATCCATACATCTTGAGGTTGAGATGATCGATTTTAGGATTTTTGGATATTCAAACAATCTTTTGTGGTGAATTTTTGAGGGGAATCTTAATTTGATTGTTCAGGGCCTCACCCTTATCTGCCTTTTTTATAACACTCGATTGTGAAATATCTATCTATTTTCAAATAGTTAACCTATCTTTCTCAACTTTTCTTGAAAAAAAGGACGATGCTTAACAGTTTAGATTGAACTTGAGTCACATCAATGGTAGATAATTTTATTTTTTCTTTTTATTTAAAATTTATCTTTACTTAAAATTTAGGGCACATATTCTTTTTTGTAGGTCGTAATAAATAAAAATAAATTTATAAAAAACTAAAATACCTTAAACCATTCAAGGTATTGTGGCCAATTATTTTTGTTCAAATTTTTTTATTGCTAAAATTTTTATAAAAATGAAAATATATCACAAATTTCAGGTAAAACTTATTTTTAAAAATAAAAAATAAAATAAAAAAATATTTTTAAAATAAAAAATAAAATAAAATTTATTTTTCCTTTTAGAAGTGACCTCTTCAATCTCAACCATAAGAAATAGACTGGGGTCATGATGACAACATCCCCACACTCTAGTCAATGTAAGCCGTTTCTGTTTTCACTTTCAAAACACCGACTTTTAAACTATTTGAAAAAATAGGTAGGAGCTTATTTTTACATGTGAATTACCCCAAAAAAAAAAACCAAAAAACATAAAAATTGATTGTATATCCTTCCATACCACATGACGGGGATGGGAGGTTTTTTATAAAAAAAAAATGAAAAATGAAAACTTTTCCGCTCTTTCTCTCTCCACTCATAGGGTTGAACAATGACAACTCATCCATGTGTCTACTTTTCATGCATGTGAAAATGAGATCCAAGGGCAATAAAAATTCTAGTGAGAGGATATTCCACTTCTTTTTAAGAGTGAGAATAGCACACCTGTTGGGGGAGTAGGTGGTGTCCCAATGGACAGTGTGCCTCCTCCATATTGGTTGGGGTAGGCAGTGGTCACTCCACCACTCACTGCTGAGTACTGCACAAACTGTGGGTATTGGACCTGAGGGTACCCCTGCCCTTGACCTATGGGGAAATAAGGATAGATGCTTGCCCCTCCATAGAATGGATATTGTGCTGTTGCTCCTCCATACACATTATAGTAACTCTGCAAAAGTTCCCCGTTCTGTAATCACATTAATGTTAGAGTATTTAATTAGGCAATGATTTCATACAACCAATATCATACAACAACCTCAAAAAACCATCTTATGGCCATTTATTTGAACCAAATTTTAAAATATACACTCTTTTCATTCTAATGAACAATCACAAAAACAGAAAAAATTAAATACACAACTTATAAAGTGTTTTTTTAACTCAATTAACATCAGCCATTCATTTTAGTAAGATGCTTAGATCTAGGCCTTAAAAGGACTTTTTCATTTCCAATTGTTTTGGATGGATTTATTTTCATTAGGTGAACAATGTTATTTATAAAGGCTAAGATCTTGAAATTCACAAGATGTGAAAATCTTGAAAATGGACGGTCTAGATAATATATTTGAAAATATATTTTTATAGTTTTTAGGTACACCTGATTGGGATGTAAGCACGAAATATGCACATCTAGGATTTCAAATTAACCTAATTTGTAGAAAAACTGAAATTAAAATATATTATTAAATCATGGCCATTCATTTTCTGCCCCTTAGTGTGAACCTTTCAATTGCAATTTCAAAGGTGCATGTGCATCAAGAGTACACGTGATATGGACCAAGAAAAAGCTCTCCTTTAATTGGATTTTTTTTTATTTTATGCAATACAGGTAGACCAAGAAAAAACTCACCTCTAGTTGGGATTTTTTAATGGATGCGGTTTCTATAAGGCCTAGGCTTTCTGAAAATAGAATAAAGCCTCACCTTAAATCATCTTCCGGAAAGCGGAAATCTCTATGATGGCTCTAAAATCAATTTCCAACACCGACAATAAAATTTGAAACTCAAAGAATGGCACAAATTTTTTAGATATGTGAACATTTGTTTTTAAGGCAAAAATAAATGGTCTAGATAATTTGGTACAATATACACTATTTTTTGAAGCTTGAAATTTTTTTTTTTTTTTCACAACCATAAGGTCCAAGTCGAGATGATTGATGTAAAGGTTTTCCAATGCTTGACTCCAATTGTCGATGAGTTATGCGGTGCTGATTTACTTATTTTGATAGGGCCACAACCCTATCAAACTGTTTTCCCTTTTTAGTTTTTGCAATACAGGTGATTTAGAAATAAGATTATTTGAAGAAAAAATTACAAATAACCGCCAAGAATAGACTTCCTATGCAATTTACCTCCAACCAAACTTTTTTTTCACTTTTTACCGCAAATTTAATTTTTTTAGCAATACCCTCCAAGTCATAAAAAAGATAAACTCAAGACCAAAATACCCTCTGGGAAGCTTGCGGTCCAGCATAAAATGGAGGCGGTCCGACACTTTGCTTCTGGAAAGCATGCAGTCCGATATAAAATAGAGGCGGTCCGACATAAAATAGAGGTGGTCTGGCACTTTGGACAAGCGGCCTGACACAAAATGGGGGCAGTTCGGTATTTTGGGCTTTCTGGAAAGCATGAGATCCGATACAAAATAACGGCGATCTGACATTTTGGGAGTACGGTACAACACAAAATAAGAGTGGTCCAATACTATGGACATTTTCATCAAAAAAAACTATGACGCTTTTGCCTCGATGGTATTTATTAGAAAAGTTCAATTTGGTATAAAAGTTGCCAAATCCAATTTTGTTAGGGTTAGGTTATCTACAAAGTCTCGTTGGAATTTGTTTTTTATAATATTTCCTTAAATTTATAATAATCATAATTTTTACGTATAGGTGGCTTAGTGATAATATTATTAAATAAATAATAATCATTTTGGAGATACTCAAAAACAAATGAGACAAGGTTTTGGGGAAGGCCCATGGGAAAAGGACAAAAATAACAAAAAAATGAGGGTTCATTTGGGTCACAAAAGATATTTTGTTGTCTTTATAGAATAACCGTACCGATAAGGTCGAATAAAAATAATATTATATTATAGAGAAAGAAAGAAAATATAGAAAGAGTCCCGTGTGCCACTAAGACTTTCGTAGTCAGCAATATTTTTGGCAAACAAATTCGATATTAATTCAGTTTTAGACCTAAAAATATAAAAATAATAAAAATCGAACATGGCTAAAAAATTCGAAAAAAGAGGCCAAACCCCTTCTCTCCTAAGGTATATATTTTTTCTTTTTTAACTTTTCTAATATTGTTTTAGATATTATAATAAAGAAAAGTTCAGAAAATGTACCTCAAAAATCCACCAAAAATAGTTCCTTAGTGTACCCTATAATTGATCATCTCGACTTTGTAATGTATGTGTATGAAAAAAAAAAAGATTTTGTCATGACAATAGTGCATCTCATAACGTATTATATAAACTATCCATTTGAAAAATGTTTAAGTGGTTATAGATCTGATTAATATGTACTATTTTTAGAGTTTCAAATTTTATGATTAAAGATAAATAGATTGACACTTGTACAACTTCTTTCGGCACAATTTAGAGGTGCCAAAGGCTGACAAGCTGATGTAGTTTCACTAAGGCCTAAGCCATATGGAAAAAAGTAAAGCTTCATCTCCAAATCTTACTCGGAAAATCCTTCGGGCATGGAAAATCCCTAAGATAACTCTAAACTCTATTTCCACCGGTGATCTTAAAATTTGTAGCTCAAAAAAGTAGTACGGATGTTGTAGATCTATAAACATTTGAAAAAGAATGGTTTAGATAAAGTGGTACAATATGCATTGTTATTATTATTTACAATTACAATACACACTATTTTTAGTGCTTGAAATCTTAAAATTTTTCACAAACATAGTGATCACGGTTGAGAAAACTTTATTGTATTTTTTATTTTTTGAATATTTTTAAATCATAATTAATAACTTTTTTTTTTTGGGAAACTTTAAGTAAAAATTATAATCTAAAACATTATGAATAAATGATCCGAGAATAGGTGGGTGGACGATCCACTTCACCAATCTATTTTTCAAATGCAAATTTTGCGTGAATTCAATTAAAGAAGGTGGTAGAAACCATAAATGAAAAGTTTTGTACTGATAATGCAATTGATCATGTACTAGATTATTAGTAAGACTTTACCAGTCTTAACAAATAACTCATTTTTTAAAATAATAGTTAATTCAGTAATTTTGAAAATTACACCTCTTGAAATATTTCTTGAAAAATGGATATTTTAAATAGTTCTAAATGGAGGATTACAAAATTATGGTCCTAACATCAAAGGTGAGAATTAAGTGACTTTGGACCAATGATTTTCTCAAGTTTACTACGTCCCTGTGTTTGTATGTATGCGTGCATATGAGAGAGAAAGTAAGAGAGAGAGAGAGAGTGTATGCATATGGTGTTGGTGGGGAGAGAGAGGGACAGAGTATATGGTGTTGGTGTGGGGACAGAGAGTATATATGGTGTTGGTGAGGAGAGAGAGTGTGCTTGTATTAGTAGGCGCTAGAGAGAGAGAGAGAGCTATTACTTGTAGTAGGTGTGTGTTGGTGAGAGAGACAGAGAGGGACAATTACTAGGAGTTTTGAGAGAGAGAGCTATCACTTGCAGTAGGTTTATGTTGTTGAGGGAGACGGGGACTATTCGGGCGAGCCAACTCGGATTCGCCGATTATCTCTGAGTTGGGTAGTCTAATTCCCAGATCATTAAACAATCCAAAAAAGCTCGAACACTATGTTTTTTTTTTTGTGTTTAACTACTTTGGCAAATATTAGAAAATATTTTGACCGGGAATATTTTCCCTTATTTTTGAACTATTTTTAAAATACCCCCATCACAAATTGATTTTTTCAAAATCTA